TTGTGCATAAATAACCCTGATGAGATTAACTCATTTCCAAACATGTCACATACTTAACACCCTCAACGCTACCAGGTTGACAGCAGCACCTGAGTCCCTGCTAGTTTGACTCCCGCAGCTGGAGATACTGTGAGTTTGACACTGATGCTCTAACGAGGGGAAAGGGCACTGAGTCATCTCTATGCTGATGAAATGCCTAGCTGGAAAGCACAGTATTATGCCTAGGTTGTAGTGGAACTAAACTCAGCAAAAAAAGAAACGTCCCTTTTTCAGGACCCTGTCTTTCAAAGATAATTCGTAAAAATCCAAATAACTTCACAGATCTTCATTGTAAAGGGTTTAAACACTGTTTCCCATGCTTGTTCAATAAACCATAAACAATTAATGAACATGCACCTGTGGAATGGTCGTTAAGACACTAACATCTTACAGACGGTAGGCAATTAAGGTCACAGTTATGAAAACTTAGGACACTAAAGAGGCCTTTCTACTGACTCAGAAAAACACCAAAAGAAAGATGCCCAGCGTCCCTGCTCATCTACGTGAACGTGCCTTAGCCATACTGCAAGGAGGCATGAGGACTGCAGATGTGGCCAGGGCAATAAATTGCAATGTCCGTACTGTGAGACGCCTAAGACAGCACTACAGGGAGACAGGACGGACAGCTGATCGTCCCCGCAGTGGCAGACCACTTGTAACAACACCTGCACAGGATCGGTACATCCGAACATCACACCTGCGGGACAGGTACAGGATGGCAACAACAACTGCCCGAGTTACACCAGGAACGCACAATCCCGCCATCAATGCTCAGACTGTCCGCAACAGGCTGAGAGAGGCTGGACTGAGGGCTTGTAGGCCTGTTGTAAGGCAGGTCCTCACCAGACATCACCAGCAGCAACGTCGCATATGGGCACAAACCCACCGTCGCTGGACCAGACAGGACTGGAAAAAGGTGCTCTTCACTGACGAGTCGCGGTATTGTCTCACCAGGGGTGATGGTCGGATTCACGTTTATTGTCGAAGGAATTAACGTTATACCGAGGCCTGTACTCTGGAGCATGATCAATTTGGAGGTGGAGGGTCCGTCATGGTCTGCAGCGGTGTGTCAGAGCATCATCGGACTGAGCTTGTTGTCATTGCAGGCAATCTCAACACTGTGCGTTACAGGGAAGACATCCTCCTCCCTCATGTGGTACCCTTCCTACAGGCTCATCCTGACATGACCCTCCAGCATGACAATGCCACCAGCCATACTGCTAGTTCTGTGCGTGATTTCCTGCAAGACAGGAATGTCAGTGTTCTGCCATGGCCAGCGAAGAGCCCGGATCTCAATCCCATTGAGCACGTCTGGGACCTGTTGGATCGGAGGGTGTGGGCTAGGGCCATTCCCCTCAGAAATGTCCGCGAACTTGCAGGTGTCTTGGTGGAAGAGTGGGGTAACATCTCACAGCAAGAACTGGCAAATCTGGTGCAGTCTATGAGGAGGAGATGCACTGCAGTACTTAATGCAGCTGGTGGCCACACCAGATACTGACTGTTACTTTTGATTTTGACCCCCCTTTGTTCAGGGACACATTATTCAATTTCTGTTAGTCACATGTCTGTGGAACTTGTTCAGTATATGTCTCAGTTGTTGAATCTTGTTATGTTCATACAAATATTTACATATGTTAAGTTTGCTGAAAATAAACGCAGTTGACAGTGAAAGGACGTTTCTTTTTTTGCTGAGTTTATAACCAACACTCCAACTGAATATAACCAAAATACTAATGAATAGTTGTCATAATATAAACTAGTATAACTGTTAAGTGGGATTTATAGGAATCCTACTGTAAAGTTAGTTGTTACTTTAACAACCCCAGTCCTCGCCTAATCTGCAACCCATGACACTGCATTATAGAAGTCGGATCACATGGGAGAAAGATTTCCCCAAACTCAGGACCAATAAGACGTTTGTTTTACAATCGACTCACTGGGATCCTACGTGTGACATATCTAACAAACAATGCGTGAATCAATATTTTGTACAAAGAAATTATATGTAATGTTCCATAAAATATTTGTTGTTTTTAAACATGGAAGCTTAGCTATTTGAAAGGTCCTGAACCTCTTCAATTTGCGGCGTCGTTGTTGTTCAAACTCTCCATTCCAAGTTGTTAATGGAAAACATGTCCACATTAGAACGCAATGTTCACTCTGTCGGAGCTGACAGGACAGGAGGCCCACGGTTACACGTCCTCGACCTATTGCTCAATTCGTCTGCAAGAGGCCGCCCCACTGTGACCGTCACCCATGTCTTGCATTCCCCCCGTCGCGTCGGTAACGTTAGACCATGAACAAAAGCTTTTCGTATGAAATTATGTTATAGTATGTCGCAGTCATTAGCTAGTTAATTATATCTTATAGCTTACCTTCGACTTCCAACACACCAGACCGCTGTTTTCGACCTGCTGTATTGTCTCAGGTCAGCCTCTTGCTGGATTTGAATAACTGTCACGGGCAAAACAGATAGCTAGCTAACGTAATGCGTTATTGTATCGAGTTGGTGGCTGTAGCTTGCGATGCTTATCTCTCTTTGATATTCAGCTTCCCCGATGACTATTTTCAGACTCCCTTCACATTAGTGTAAATACAAATATCTAGCTATATAATTTTAGTTCAGATTTTGTTGTCTTGTCTTTTGCCCTGGTTTCATTTCGCGACTGATTTTTTTCTCTCACTTCCTCCAAAACAACTAGTCTTGCGTCACCGCGCTGTTACGTAATCACGCACAAACATGATACACCACGCCCACTTACTGCACCAGAAATTGATCTTTAATACTTTTGTAAATACCTTGGCTTTAGTTTTTTACTGTCCAGATGTAAATTAATCTATTCTTAAATGTTCTCCAAATTGCAATAGCACATTTGCTCTGATATAACATGCCAGGCTAAAGAACACCATGAGCAGTAGGAGAGAAGCAGATAACACCTAAACATGTTTTTATGGAAGATACATTTTGTTTAGGAAAAATGAACAGCGTATATGGCTTTTTTATTTTTTTATCATTTAGCAGACGCTCTTTTTCCAGAGCGACTTACAGTTAGTGAGAGCATATATATATATATTTTTTTTTTCTTCCATACTGGCACCCGTGAGAATCGAACCCACAACCCTGGCGTTGCAAGCGCCATGCTCTACCAACTGAGCTACACTATGCTCCATAAAACGTTGGCGTATTATGTTACCCAAAGCAGACTGGCTCGAAACATACCACACATTTGTAGTCTATAGCACATAGCATAATATAGCCCCTGCCTAATATCTGGAAGAGTAGCCTATTTTGTTTTTCATGTAGGGCTGAAAATGTAGTTTAGGAGCGCTATTGGTTATTATTACATTTCTTTGATGGAGACAGCAAATATGAGTACCACTAGAGGGCAGTCTTCGTTCATTTCTGGCAGAGGCTCTGAACACTATCTTGCCTGAGCATAATCATCACCACAGATGTTGAGGAGCTACTCTCTGTTGTCTCTACTGTCTGTAGCTGAATGATTTGTATAATGAATCTCATAAGTAAAATATACAATTTATATTGAATCAAGGCTCCATAATAGAACTTTGTGATTCTAACTCAAGGTTCTGTTCTGCGTCTGGTTTTTGATCTAGAATGCAGCTGCTCAGCTCTATACTTCATCATCAAAGTGCTGTTGTGTCTGATCTTACCCTGATATTTCCTGAGATTCTGAGCTCCCTGAAGTCATTCAGTCCTTCATGCTTGTCCAAAGAAGGGACACTGGAACAGGGATGATGGACTGCTCTCCATTCCTGACTGACTGAACACGTACTGGGAGGACGTGGCTGAAGTATGCAAACTGTCTGACAGTGAGAGGGCAAAGGCCAAAGGGAATGGGGGTCAGTTCACTGGAAGTGTCTTTGCCCCTTTGCTGTGGGCAGACTGTGTGTCCGTGGGTGTGTATTCTGTTAGTGTGTCCATTTGGCACATCCTAATGAGTAGGGATGACCCTAGTGTTAATGGACGAATTCCTGACTGCTCTCCCCTATTGAGTGCCTAGTCTTTAAGACCTGGTAGGAACTCAGTTGGTGAACACATCCACCAATAAACTAAAGGTATGGGGTGAGAAAGGTGGGGGTATACAAGAGACGGTAGTGCTAGAAAAGATTTGGCCTCTTGGAGGAAAAGCGTCACAAATACACATACACATTTTGTCACACAGACACACATTAACAGGGGAGAGTTAAAGACAGGCACTGACTGTCAGAGGGAAAGAGAGAGAGAGAGAGAGAGAGAGAGAGAGAGAGAGAGAGAGAGAGAGAGAGAGAGAGAGAGAGAGAGAGAGAGAGAGAGAGAGAGAGAGAGAGAGAGAGAGGGGATGGGTCAAAGAGATGGATGGATTGTGTGTGACCGTGTGTCCGTGCATGCGCCCGTGCGTGTGTGTGTGAATCAGGAGGTGTGTGCGTTAGTGTGTGCCAGACAGCAAAGAGAGGTGCAGTTATCTAGGAATTTGAACCAAAGGAACCTCACTAACAGAAAGAGAGAGAGAAAGCGAAACAGAGGGAGAGAGAAGTGGAGAGGATGAAATCGGTATATAGATAGAAACACAGATAGAAAGAGACAGCCACAGAGATCAGGATTACAGGAAGATTAGATTAAAAAAAGAGATGGAGAGACAAAAAAAGATGAAGAAGTTCACACAGAAATAGAAGAAGGTTATATGGGCAGAGCGTGGAGTGACACCATCCAAGGCTTCAAACAAAGCATCAAGCCGACGGACTCAGGAGTGGAGCAGAGACCCATCAAGTACAACAAAAAAGACAAAAAAAAGAGGACAAGTGGCACTTAAGACGTGTGGGCACCCAAGTCCAAGAGGCTGGCAAGGTGGAACAGCTTTAAGGTGAAAACCGGTGTCAGGAGGGACAGTAAACAACGAAACACAGAGGTGTCTGAGAGACTGAATTCTGCCAGCTTTTCAAATTATTTTAGGAGTTTTCCCATGATTCCACTGGGCTCTCTCGGCATGCTCCCACTGCTGTCCCTGTGTGTGGGGGCCGTGTTGTCCCCCCCGGATGCACCCCCCGCCTGTTCCCACCCCCCTTGCAGGGACAATCTGGTGGCCGCTCCGCCTGCGAGGACAGGGTCAGGGGGGTGTGAGGGGAGCCCCGGGACGGCAGGCTGCAGGGTAGTGGTCGCCCCCCTGGCTGCCTCCAACCCCCCTCTGAGGGAGGAACACAGACAAGAAGTCCGACAGGTCCAGCTCGAGGTGAGTGACATCACCAGGTCAATCTGAGGTCATTTCCTGTGCTTTTCCCAATAGAATGAGTGATGTATTGATATAACTGACTCAGGTATTGTACACACCAAACAATGATCATTCTGAGCTGGGTGGTACAGAGGAAGGCCTGGACAATGTTTGTTCTGTATGGGTGATTAGATAATGCGGGGGAAGAGTCTCTGAGTCTGACACACCATGTCCCTCTGGTTTCTGTGGTGGGTGGTAAAGTTTAGGCTGCTGAAACAGTGACTATGGACATAATGTCACTCAGCCAATTGAAATGGAATTGAGCCCAACTCTGTAGCATAGTGGCATAGATACCTAGTGGGTACTCACTGGTTGAGTCAACGTTTCCACGTAATTTCAATGAAATTATGTTGAACCAATGTGAAATAGACGTTGAACTGACGTCTGTGCCCAGTGGGTAGTGTCTGGTGTCTTAAGCATTAGTGTCAGTGGTATAGTATGTGGAGAGTGGGCAACAGGTCCCTACTCTGGGGATAAGGGGCACTCTCCACTTTGTACCACTTGACAGACGCTTTCCAGGGATAACAATCAAAGGGAGTAAAATTAGGGTTGGGTTTATAAATGTCCTCATCATATGGCTTTGCTGAGCTCATGCAATGACAGGTGTTTCACTGACATGGCTAGGAGGAATGTAAGTGTGACTGAGTGATTGAGTCTGTGGCAGTCATCTACTTTGCATGCCTTAGTGTCAGTTTGTGTTTGTGTGATGTGACTGTAAATGCTGGTACGTGCTTGTGTGTGTGTGTCATGTCATGACTGTAATGCTGTGTGTGGTCTCTGCAGGCATGGGATGTGTCGGAGCGTCTGGTCCAGTTGCAGCGCTGTTTGCATTCCCTCCAGGAGCCGGGGGCCCCCAGGGGCCAGGGAGGGGACACGCTGGGGGCCATTCTGGCTCTGATGGCTGCAGTGCTGACAGAGTGTGACCTCCACTGTCACAGCCAGGCCCTCAGGGCTATGGCCAGACGACTGGGTGAGGAGCATGGCGAACACACACACACATATACACACACATACACACTGATGCACACATTGTTACTACTTATCTTCTCTCTTTCTGTGTATCCTCCTGTTCAATCTCTTGATCTCTCTCTACACAAACACTCAACACCCACACAATGACGGTGTCTCTGCTATCTCTTAAGAGGGCCACACACACACACAGTAAACAAAGCCTTAGTGAGGCCTGCTCTGTGTCGGTCAGAGGTGAGTGCACAGGAATGCAAGGCTCTGTTTGGGATGAGTAAGGCCGATAGAAAGCTCAGCGGTATATCACAACCCAGTGCACAACTCTTGAACCTTCACAAAACCACCATATAACTACTACAGCAGATCAGAAGATAACTGCTATATATAACTACAGTGGGATGGGTCCTCAATCTCACACAACCTCTTCTTTTTTTATGTGTTTAGAGGGGGCAGCGGTTGGGAGAGAGGGAGTGAAAGACCTGCTACTACTATTGAGAAGCATCACACAACACCCTCCAACAGGTGAGAGCAGTGTGTGTACTCTGTGTTGTGTACTCTGTGTTTGTGTATGTATGCTTGTGTGTACTTGAGTGCATGTGTGCGCATGTGCGTACAGAATATACAGATGTAAGAGCGCAAGTGTGTGTGTGTGTTGCAGTGGCCCCCTCAGCGAGGCTGCATCCTCAGGACTGTGCTGAGATCTATCGTTTGGGGATCAAAGAGAACGGAATCTTCACCATCCAGCCTGACCCACGCAGACCTGCAGTCGACGTACCTCCTAATACTTACACACACAAAATGCAAACAACCTGTTTACAGTATGTGTGTTATGCACCATCTGTAGAGCTTGGAGGGGAGAGAAAAAACAGACAAGGAGGGAGCTGATGTTACAGATTACAGTAGTAAAGTAGCCTTGCTTGTGCAAGCCAGAATGGCTCATAGGAGCAGGAGCCTATCTCCTGTTTCTGTAGCGTGAGGCAGCTTCCCTGGACAGGACGCTAGTCTATCGCAGGGCCTTACCCCAAATCTATCTCCTTAATGCTGAGTGCCAAGCAGAGACGCACCGGGTTCCATTTTTACAGTCTTTGGTATGACTCGGCTGGGGATGGAACTCCGAACCTTCCAATCTCAGGGCGAACACTCAAACCACAAGGCCACTGATTACAGTAAAATGTCTCAATGCGTTGCATACTGTATCTCAATAATCACCCCCTATATCCTCTCTACTATTGGCAATGGTCAAGGAAACCTCATCATTATTGTGTCGGATGTCCAAGAGTTGTGACCTTTGCCCCTCCCCAGGCAGAGTGTGACATGGAGACGGCAGGCGGAGGGTGGACGATGTTCCAGCGACGGAGAGATGGCTCTGTGGACTTCAATCGGACGTGGCAGGAGTACCGTGAGGGTTTTGGTTCCCCACAGGGAGAACACTGGCTGGGGAACGCAGAGCTGCATGCTCTTACCAACACTGGTCAACACCTGCTGCATATTCAACTGGAGGACTGGCACAAGCAGAAGCGCCAAGCCACCTACAACACATTTAGAGTGGCAGCAGAGGCACAGAAGTAATGGAAACATACAAACACACAGACAGATAGGAAGACTAAGATATACAGTGTATATTATACACAAATTAAAGAGATTGTTCACCTCAAAATCAAAGATTGTCAAATATATATATTTTTTTTACAAAAGTGGTATAATGTCGAGATCAGTTCAGGTCCCACGGCATCTGAATGGGAGGATAGGCACAGCCTGAAATTAGACGTTGACTATCTTTCCCATTCATTTGGAATTAAGGCATGTATCTGGATCTACACAACTGGTGGAGTATGACGTGGACTCATCTCAACATTAGACCTCTTTTGACATAAAAAAACATAGGACAAACTTTGATTTTGGAGTGAACATAATATCTCTTTAACAACATAGTACACCATCACTCACTACTCATGGTGTTATGCTGTGTTCATAACCAAGTGGGAAGGTGGCAATTTCCAGTTGTGAAGTAGTAAATATGAGTTTGATGCATTCATGTGCTTTGAACTCGTTGAGATAAGCCGATTGGCTAATGGCAAACAAGTTGCGTCAACCATAAACTAAAAGTACAGCTATCGTGCTCGCAAACAAATTATAGTGTTCAAAAACACTTTTAATAGATTTTTATAAATAATATTTTGTTGTTGAATTTAACTGCCGAAAATCCTGTTATCGAGGTCATTTCCATAGTAGGTGACGTCAGAGGTCAGTATGTGGGAGAAGTCGGAGATCAGGGATGATAGACGAGTGTCCCACTAGTAATTACCAGTTAGAAGGGCGTTCAAGTGGATTTGTCCTAGTCATATGTGGTAAATACCACCTTCCCACTTGGTTATGAACGCTGGGTAAATGCTGTATCTCCTTCTCCCAGGTACCGTCTGACAGCACGGGAGTTCCCTGGTGACGCGGGCAACGCCCTGAGCTACAGCAAACGCTACAACCACGACGGCCGAGCGTTCAGCACCAACGACCGTGACCACGACCGCTACACCTCGGGGAACTGTGCACAGTACTACGGTGCGGGCTGGTGGTTCGACGCCTGCCTGGCGGCTAACCCGAATGGACGGTACTACCGCGGGCGTTACAGCGGGCTGACCAACGGCATTTACTGGGGCACCTGGTACATCCTGACAGACAGCCGCAGTGGAGAGCGCTACTCCTTTAAGAGTGTGGAGATGAAGACACGCCCACGCAACTTCTAATAAAGAAGATGACTTGGGAGCAGATTGAAATGGGACAGTTGATGTGAAGTAGCAATCTGTAAAATGTAGGCCTACTACTCCATACTCTGAGCCAGGTTCTGTATATGTAAATCTAGGGTGGGAACCCTAGCCTGGTCCCAGATCTGTTTGTGATGTGCCCCAGCTAGGGAAACCCTAATCTGCTTGCAGAGTGTGTGAAGGTAATTGTTAATCAGCTGATGACTGGATAATGTTGGGATAGTGAGACACTAAATCAGTTCTTCCAGGTGTAAATATAGTGCTAAATGGAAAAGTGGTTAGATGTCTCTATCCTTATTTATAATTCAAGTATGTGTTGAAGAAGTTGAATTACACCATTAACCAGCAAAATCTGTGACCCTAAAGGCTCATGGGTTCCTCACGCCTGCTTCATTTTTATTCTCCATAATTCGAGCCATATACCACTCCGCATCTTTTTTTGTTGTGATATTTAAACAACAGTAAAGTTTTCATACATACAGTATGTTATGTAAATCTTTCCACAAAAAATGAAATGTAGACATGTACATTGACAATCATGGCTTTAGTATAGAGAAATTATTCTTGAAATTCATTTCTATAACATTTCTAACCAATGACTGAGTTATTGTGTCTCTGAATATGCTTTATCAGTATTATTTTGGGTAAATAAGATATGTCAACATATAAAAACATCAAAGATTAACAGATTCTGCCTGAAAATCTGTTTGAAGTTATGTAAGAAAGGTACTTGACACCCAGGTGTCCTGTTAGGTGTATATGTATGACATTCTACACAGGTTTTATTCAATCACCCAAACAACCATATTCGTTTCAACCATCCAAACTCTCTCTCTCTCTCGCTCTCGCTCTCGCTCTCGCTCTCTCTCTCTCTCTCTCTCTCTCTCTCGCTCTCTCTCTCGCTCTCGCTCTCTCTCTCGCTCTCGCTCTCTCTCTCTCTCTCTCTCTCTCTCTCTCGCTCTCGCTCTCTCTCTCTCTCTCTCTCTCTCTCAGATAATCTTTTACGGTGTCCATATTAGGAATGCCTCAGTCTCAGCAGGAGTTGTGTCAATAGATCCAAACCATGGAGCATTAGCTGACCATGTGAATTGATAAGGAAAACTAAGGAAATACCCTGCATCATGTAGAAAATTACATTTTACAGAGTACAGTGAGGGATAAAAAGTATTTGACTCCCTGCTGATTTTGTACGTTTGCCCACTGACAAAGAAATTATCAGTCTATCATTTTAATGGTAGGTTTATTTGAACAGTGATAGACAGAATAACAACAAAAACTAATGTCGAAAATGTTATAAATTGATTTGCATTTTAATGAGGGAAATAAGTATTTGACCCCCTCTCAATCAGAAAGATTTCTGGCTCCCGGGTGTCTTTTATACAGGTAACGAGCTGAGATTAGGAGCACACTCTTAAAGGGAGTGCTCTTAATCTCAGTTTGTTACCTGTATAAAAGACACCTGTCCACAGAAGCAATCAATCAATCAGATTCCAAACTCTCCACCATGGCCAAGACCAAAGAGTTCTCCAAGGATGTCAGGGACAAGATTGTAGACCTACACAAGGCTGGAATGGGCTACAAGACCATCGCCAAGCAGCTTGGTGAGAAGGTGACAACAGTTGGTGTGATTATTTGCAAATGGAAGAAACACAAAAGAACTGTCAATCTCCCTCGGCCTGGGGCTCCATGCAAGATCTCACCTTGTGGAGTTGCAATGATCATGAGAATGGTGAGGAATCAGCCCAGAACTGGATCTTGTCAATGATCTCAAGGCAGCTGGGACCATAGTCACCAAGAAAACAATTGGTAACACACTACGCCGTGAAGGACTGAAATCCTGCAGCGCCCGCAAGGTCCCCCTGCTCAAGAAAGCGCATATACAGGGCCGTCTGAAGTTTGCCAATGAACATCTGAATGATTCAGAGGAGAACTGGGTGAAAGTGTTGTGGTCAGATGAGACCAAAATGGAGCTCTTTGGCATCAACTCAACTCGCTGTGTTTGGAGGAGGAGGAATGCTGCCTATGACCACAAGAACACCATCCCCACCGTCAAACATGGAGGTGGAAACATTATGCTTTGGGGGTGTTTTTCTGCTAAGGGGACAGGACAACTTCACCGCATCAAAGGGACGATGGACGGGGCCATGTACCGTCAAATCTTGGGTGAGAACCTCCTTCCCTCAGCCAGGGCATTGAAAATGGGTCGTGGATGGGTATTCCAGCATGACAATGACCCAAAACACACGGCCAAGGCAACAAAGGAGTGGCTCAAGAAGAAGCACATTAAGGTCCTGGAGTGGCCTAGCCAGTCTCCAGACCTTAATCCCATAGAAAATCTGTGGAGGGAGCTGAAGGTTCGAGTTGCCAAACGTCAGCCTCGAAACCTTAATGACTTGGAGAAGATCTGCAAAGAGGAGTGGGACAAAATCCCTCCTGAGATGTGTGCAAACCTGGTGGCCAACTACAAGAAACGTCTGACCTCTGTGATTGCCAACAAGGGTTTTGCCACCAAGTACTAAGTCATGTTTTGCAGAGGGGTCAAATACTTATTTCCCTCATTAAAATGCAAATCAATTTATAACATTTTTGACATGCGTTTTTCTGGATTTTTGTTGTTGTTATTCTGTCTCTCACTGTTCAAATAAACCTACCATTAAAATTATAGACTGATCATGTCTTTGCCAGTGGGAAAACGTACAAAATCAGCAGGGGATCAAATACTTTTTTCCCTCACTGTATGTGACAGTACTTGAGCAAAGCACCTCTTCATTTTTCATTTGTACTTTTAGGTGAACAAGGTCTGTAGTGTCAAAAAAAAAAAAAATTCTAAGTTACACTATGAAACTTAGACAGTCAGAGTTACATGGTGGCTGCTTCTCTCGTTTCTTCCCCCCTGGCTATAGGGTCAGCTGGTGCCAGGTTCATGCAGAGGGGGGTCAGTTATCAGTTGGGTGATACTCAGACCCCACAAAGCCATGGCCCGATAACATGCTAACGTGTTAACGTACAACAGAGGGGCAGCCAACAGCCAACTCAGCGCTCTCTACCCACAGGTCTCCAGGCCCCTGTGTTCTGACTCCAGCTGTGGGATTGCTCAGCCAAACCCAAACTGTAATTTCTTTTGAAATGATGCTATGACAGTCAACAGAGAAGAGCTCAGTTTTGGTAAAGGGCCTCTCCTTCTCCTACCACAAATAACCTGTAACAGCTTTCACACTGTCCCATACCAAAGTCCCACACAATGATGGCATTGGCGGTACGATGATGCCTACCTTGGTAGCTCACTCACTCTCTGACACACATAGAGAGAAAGAGACACACACGCAAATGTATGCACTCACATACACACTCATGTACACAAACACATGCGTGCACGCACACACACACACACACACACACACACACACACACACACACACACACACACACACACACACACACACACACACACACACACACACACTGACCCCCGGTTGTCCTTTGGAGTTGGCGTCAGACGTGCGGCTCCCTCTGGCTGTGGTTCACAGAGCTTTTTTGGGAGTTTAGAGTGTGTGAACGGTGTGTGTGTGTGTAGGGGGGGGGGGGGGGGGGGGGGGGCGGTTGTACAGGGTGTGTGCGGGGTGTGAGTGTGTGCATGGGGGATGGTGAGGCTATGTTGGGGTGGTGGATGAGGGGGTGTGTAAACTGCTGTGTCCGTTTTAGCAGTGTTCGTGACGAGCTGTCAGTCTGTCCAACAAGCTCTGAGTGGCTAATAATAACACCGGGGGGGGGGCGTTGGGGTTAGACAGACGGACATACAGCAGGCAGGCAGACACTCAACCAGCCACAGTATTTCACACACACTACTTATACACACAAACCGACAAGCCAAACACATACTGCCTGCAGCAAAGCAAACACACACTGACCTCAGCATAGCAGACACTATATGCGGTGCAGTTCTCATATACGCAAACTTGAACACACAGTACTTATGCATAAACACTACTACCAGAAAAGCACACACACATTCATGCTCATGCACACACGCATGCATGCACACACACAAATGGGAGGTGCATGATGTGCTTAGCAATAAAAACAAGCCTCTATTAGAGATGAAAAGGCTTCAAGCTGGCTTCTCCCCTCACATACATGGTTTGATCATACCTCCTCAGTCATCATTATCTGTCTCTCTCTCTCTCTCTCTCTCTCTCTCTCTCTCTCTCTCTCTCTCTCTCTCTCTCTCTCACACACACACACACACACACACACACACACACACACACACACACACACACACACACACACACACACACACACACTCCTGTGATGTCTCTTTTGCCATGTCATTGATTGACAGTTCTGGCTTTAATGTAACTTGATGTGGAATAAGAGACAATCTGCCTCCTTGTGGTTGGAGATGTAAAGAGAGAACTGTTAATTACTGATACCTGGGTTGAGTTAGAAAGAGTAAAACCAAACCAGGCATATTGTCCTCTATGAGGTTCATTAGCTATTAGTGCTGACAAACTCAGATCTGAAAATCTTTAGTTAGGATCAAAACCTGACAAGTTCACTGTCACTGGTACAATCAACATTACATGATGTCAAGAGAAATGTAGTATAATGGAGTTACAGTAATGTTCAAGGGCAATGTTTTTAATTTGTTTATAAATCCCATCATTGGATGGTTTGGTAGTTGGGTTTTCCAAGGGACTCCATAGACCAGCATAGCTGACCTAAGTTGTAAATATATATATTTTTTAAAAGTAGTTGCCTGGTAATGTTTGTGCCTTTCAAATCTTGCAAACATTTCTAAAAACCTGTTTTTGCTTTGTCATTATGGGGTATTGTGTGATGAGGGTGATGAGGGGGGAGGAAACGATTTCATCAATTTTAGAAAAAGGCTGTAACGTAACAAAATGTGGAAAAAGTCAAGGGGTCTGAATACTTTCTGAATGCACTGTACCTGGTAAAATAATGGTTCATAAACAACTCTA